ATTAAGAGGACAATAATTGATAAGTTGGATTGATACAGCTGATACACAGAAATTACTGAGTGTATGTTCATGGAAAAGTTAGAGCTTGATATCAGTTAAATTTCATTGTTTTACAACATGAAATACATAACTGCAAAATCACAAGTAAGCTAGCCTCAACACTGCTAAGCCCAATCTAAGCATAAATGGGTTTTAAAGTAGCATATAGGTAAAAGTATTACAAAAAACATATCTAAAAATGTTTGATTTTAAATAAAGATCTTGAAAAGTAGATACTTCCTGCTATCATGCATGGTAGCATGCATTCAGAGACTTCGAAATGAAAGCTGTCATCTCTATTCATAGAAATATCTGCTTTTATTTTGCATCCAGATGAGTAATGGTGTTAACAAACATAAAGATTACTTAATAAAATTCAACTTTGATAAGAAGCTGGAAGTAGAACTAGAGCCAAAACTTACCATCTTTATTCAATTTTGTCCCAATTTCTGGAAGACTACAATAAACAACGTCTCCTAATGCTTCCTTAAAAGAAAAACAAATGCATCAAAGCTTACAATAAAGAAACTGTAGGTAGGAGTTATCTGACACAGTAACTCTAGAAGCAATGCAAACAAGTCACCTTCCCTGTGTAAATGCAGATGTTATTTAAAGATTGTGCACTTTTCACTTTTTAAACACTTAACTTGAAAGAAAACCAAAATGCTAGGTTAGAGTGACCCAAATGGCAAATTAATTGTTGTCTATTATGATGTTAATAACCTTCAGGCTGAGCTGCAAGGCATGTATCTACAGATTTATTCAGGCAGAACAAGAGGAGCATCTGCTTATTTTCTCAGCGCCAGCCAGCACAGCAAGTGTTGTGATGGACAAAGTTCCCAACAATTTTAGGGAATTATCCCTCTGGCACAAGGCACAGAAATGTCACTTGAAATTAAATGCAGCGATTCCTCTCCAGTGGCAGCTCAAGAGCTGTAAGCATACAGCCTGTCCTTCCTGACTGAACAGGAGCCTTACCACCAGAAGAATCAGCTCGACTGGAACAGGCTCCTGCCTCTTCAGTGGCAAAGGTACCATATTTCACAAGAGCCCACAGATCTGATGGAGCAGTGGTGGCATTTACAGAAAGCAGATTACAGGAAATGCTGCTTGTCCTAACGCTAATTCCACTTCATTGCTAACTTCCCATGCTAGAAGTTTCACGTGCGGTAAATCTCCATCCTGAATTTACCTGTGGCTACTCCAAATCACATGCTTGCACCAGATCAAAACACAACTCCAAAGGGTCCCCCTACCTCCACTATTTTATACTGAGAAATATACACTGTGTTACACTTCTGTTTGGAATAGCTTTTTAGCCAGAGGAATTGCACCACAGTCACGTTCAAGTGGAATCTGACCTGAAAAGTGCACGGCAGCCTCTTATTACAGCCACACACTCCCAAGGCCTACAGAACTGTGGTAATAAATGCAGTTTTAAATTCAGCTGACCATTATGTTTCCATCACACTCAGCTTTCCACAGGCTTGATCTAAACCGATTAAGAATCTATCAGAATGCTGAAACAACGTGCACTTCTCAAATAACGTGACAGTGCCAAGTCCAAAAATCTCATCCTGTGCGTATAGCATATGCAATTACAACAATAAAACAACAGCAGCTATCCAAAGAGCAAGGACAAGAGTATGGGTAAGTAAATATTGCAGGCTTGGGTAGGAAAAGAGGGGGTTGATCAATACCTGTGCAAAATTGCTGATTCCTACTGTTCCAATGCCATTTTCAACTGATATCCATTCATGCTTGTCTGTGAATTTGCGGGCTACAATGAAACAAACTTGAAACTTCAGAAATAAGTGGCAAGTTGCTGGCTTAAATGCAATACATTGAAGTTACAAACCCTGCTGGTTTGCTTTGCTTTCCCCTGAGGTTGGTGCTTTGTTTCCCCACACCCCCCTTGGAAAATACTCTAAACAGCAAATGCGATTTGCAGAAGCACTTTGTTCTGCTCAGGACACACGTAGTGACACAGCAGCAGCTCACTGTGGGGTTCTGCCTGACAGCCTTCCTGGTTCCCGTGCAATCATCCAGAGACTGATCAACCACGGGGGGAAAGTGAATAGTTCTCATTCAAATGTAAAATACAAATCCAAAGCATACATGTTTACTTCACTCACAGTAACAAGCTTTTCTATGATGCCTTCAGGTCTTTCCCAGCGTATTTTGTGCTTTTTTCCCAGGAATAACAAATCTGCTGGCAGGCCAGCGTTAATGACAGTTAAATAGTGTCAGCATTGCAGCATCTCATTCAACACATGAAACAAAGCCACCAGGTGAAGCTGCAGCCTGTCTGCTCCCGGCAGCTGAGTCCCTTCCCTGCCCTGACATCTCCTCTACAGTCTACTTCTCCCATTTCATGTCATCACTGATATATATAATATCAGGCACAATAAGTATAGGTGAAATTAATAGGGCCATTCAAACAGGAAACAGTTACCTAAGAGAATTTGCTGTTAATACTATTAGAACAACACTCATTCTGAATAGTTTTAACATGTGTGTATGTAAGACTGTTAAATCTTTTCCACAGCAATCCTGCAATTCTGCATACAGTGTAGGTCTGTAGGACTCAGGGCTGCTCATACTGTATTTTACCAGCAGCAGTTATTTTTATATTCAAAAGAAGAAATTGAAACAGTTTTCTTCCTGATACATCACACCAAGAGCTTCCAGCCTGCTTTGTCCTTCTCCTCACATGCAGTTTTCCTCAGCAGTTCTTCGGGTTTTCTTCAGTTTTTAAATTTCTTCTCCATGTTCCCTTCTTGCACCCCTCCAATCACACAGGGGATGTTCCACAAGTTGGGGAAGAACTTAAACAGAGTTTCCTGGGAGATACGTGCCAAAGCTGGGCCCTCCTTTTGGGTCCCAAATCCTCTTGGGCTCCTTGCACCTCCTAAAGAAATTCAACTTCCAGAAAGCCTTATTTCTTAGGCTTGCATATGACAAAAAGCAGAAATCCTCACTTCAGGTCTGTTAAAATCCTCACGCTAAGTCAGTACCATTCTGAGATGTTTCAGTTATAGTGATCCATTTACAAGAGCTGAATGTGTGGAAGAGGTAAAACGGTCTCTCTCTTATGGCGGCTCAAGTTTTACATTTGTATTTATTGTGGCAGCACAATATACAGAAGCAGAGCACACAAAACAGACTGAGTAAAATGCTAATAATGCATTTTCCCATGCAGCATCGCTCAAATAATAATAAAAAGACCACATAATTTCATCTAGCATTATTAATATCTACATAAATCTCTCTGGACATGTTTTAATGAACAGAAGAAACCGAATCACTTTAGGTCAATGCATTAACCCCCAAGTAATAGGGATTTGATTGGAAAAGAGTAATGAACCATGAGAACAGAGAAGAACGCAGAACCTCAGGCCCCCACTGAACATTAACATTATGCACATCACAGAGGAGCCAGCCAGCACCTTTCTATGTGGGACAATAATATTGTGTAAGATTTGTTTTAAAGGGCAAGATTACAGGGAAGAAAAAGACAAGAGATAAAAATTTCACTGCTTTGTTAGAAATTGACACGTTCTTAGCAGTCTGAAATGCATGTATGCTTCTTGTAGGATATTTCTCACAAAGAAAAAGGTTAAAATGAGAAATTCTAACCATGCGGCAAAACCCACGGTAAGTAAAGTTCAGGTCAAATGAGAAAGAGTTAATAAGTAATCTCAAAATTTGAACTTTGAGCTTATGTGACTGGCACATGAAAGAAATCAAAAAAGATGAATATACATATCATATAGGAATACGCTCATACATATTCATAAATAATGTCAGAGCACAGCAAATCTCTTCCGCGAGCGTTTTTTGCCACAAGAGCATCTCCTCGTACTCCAGCTTCATTCATTTCAGCACGGCTTTGGTTTCAGCTTAACGAGCACATCCTAAATTCAGACCTGCCTCTATTTCGGCAACGGACACCTGCGAGACACCACCTGCTGCACAAGTGCACGAACACCGCACAGCAGCTCACGGCACACGCACACCTCCACACCTCAGCGGCTGCACTCGAGCGCTCAGACCGATCCCGGCTTCCCTTCCGGCACGGCTCAGCTCTGCTGCCCGCTGAGGGATCGCTCCTCTTTGCGCACCGGGAATCGGGAGCGCATCAGCAGCTCAGCGCGGAGGTTCTGCCAGAAGCACGGCACAGCACTGCTGCTTCCAGCCATCTTGAGGCACCCTGCCCGGGCAGCTCTGCCCTTCCCGCCTGCACGAGGCAGCTAAAACACAACACAAAGCGCTTCTGTGCACGGTGTCCTTGCAGGCCCGCTATTTAAACGCGCCGCGCCCAGGACAGAGGAGCCCCGGCAGACCTCGCGCCCGGCCGCAGAGTTCAGCGGTAACGCGCAGCTGCGCGCCCGGGGCAGCCAGCGGCACCCGCAGGATTTGCCTCTGCTCCTCACAGAGCGCCGAGTTGCGCCGCGCGAGGACGAGCGGCACCTCCCCCGCGGCCGCCGGGCCCACGCCGGCGCTCCCGCACTCACCGGACAGCAGCAGCGAGCCGGTGCCCAGCCTCCGCGCCGCAGGGACCCGCGGCCGTAACGAGAGGCGCGAGCAGCGCGGCGCCAGGGCCGGCCCGAGCCGCCGCAACGCCAACCACGCCATCTTTGCCGGCGGCCTCGGGCGGGGGCGGCGCCGCGCCGAGCTCCCGCCTCACGGCGGAGGCGGCCGTTGGAGCCCCGCGGCGGGCGGGGCCGCCGTGTCGATGCGGCGCGGAGCCGTCCGGCTGCAGCGAGCGGGGCGGGATCGAGCCCCCCCGTGCACCCTGCTGCCGGCCCTGCGCTGCCCTGGGAGATAACGGCCCTGGGGGCCGGCACCGGGCTGACTGCACCGCCATCTTCCAGGGGTGCTGGGCAGAAAGCGAGCGCCGTGAGCCGAGCGATGCGACGCACGCTCGGTGTTGAATCACTACAGGTGCCAAGCCCGCAGGCGGTGCGCATGGGATGCTTTATTTCACGTTTCGTGCGAGTTTTTAGCTACAAAGCATCAGTCTGCAAGAGTTTGTTGAAGGCTACGTACAGCATTCTAGTCAGAAGCACAACAGCCAAGTGGCCGTTGCAGCTGGCAGTTACAAAGTACGATCTTTTGCACGCTAACAAAGCAGCTTTTCGTTATGGTTGTCCATTAATTGCTGACGGGTTGCTTTGGCTGATCGTTACAGCCCGTCTTCTCTTCCTGCTTACATTTAATCCCAAAGAAACCGAAAAGTTTCATGAGCATTAAGTCCACGATTTCCTCCTCTTCTGAAGCCTGAAATAAGGACAAGAGATCAGTCAACAGGCGGGCAGGCCAGGAGCAGATGCAGCTCCTGCTGGAGGTAGAGAGAGTTGCAGGAGTAGATCTGCACTCCGTACCATAGAGATCAATTTTTACTCTAGGCAGAGCACGGATCGCTGCCAAAGCCGAACACCGTGCAGCTGCATTCACCAAACAGTCTCAGGTAGCCTGAGGGTGTGCATGCTGCTGAAGAAATATTGACTCTGTCAAAGGCTGTGAAAATGTTGCTACTGGAGCCTGGAGTTCACTAGCTGACTGCTGTGCAGGTCATAGAATCACAGAGTCATTAAGGTCAAAGAAGGCCACTAAGATCAACCCACCCCTACCTGCCCATTGCCCACGTCCCTCAGTGCCCAATCCCCATGGTTCTTTAACACCTCCAGGGATGCTGACTCCCCAGCCTCACTGGGCAGCTGTGGCACTGCATCACCACTCCTTCTGAGAAGAAATGTTTCCCTATACCCAACCTGGATTTCACAGAATGCTATCAATACCTGAACAGATCAGGAGCTTGGTGACATTGTTAAAATGAGCTGTAAAGTCCTTATCAATTCTGTATCTGTTTTGGTACTGATTCCAATGGAGCTGGGGCTCTGGATTTAATATATGAATGCCAGGCTACAGTTCTGAAAGTCTGAACAGAGACTCATCTGAACAGGAATGGACAGTGTAATTCTGGAAAATCTGAAGCATGCTTTATGAGTAAATGTTGACTTCTTAAAAGTAGGACTGAGTTTACATAGTTTCATCGGGTGGTGGAATACCTACGCCATGAGTAAGCTCTGCACAACAAATCTTAAAGAACAGCAGGAGAGCTGAGATGAACACACCTGGTAGTGCTTCTGCTCCTCACTGAAAGCAACCAGAATCACTGAAATGAAGAGATTCAGCACCACGAACGTCATGAAAACGATGCAGGATCCAATTAAGAAGGAACCTAAAATTGGATTGTAGTCCAAGATCTGTAGGATTAATAAGGTAAGACATGACATTCTGATTTTTAAAAAGGAGCATATGTACAAGCAGCTATCACACAGTTTGGAGTTTGTCCCGTTGAAAGTCCTTGTGGGTAATAAATTTTAATAATAAAATATTACCCTTGTGGGTAATAAATAACACTATAGTTATATATCATATGTATATAGATAAATTTTCTCCTTTTACTTTAGGGCTTTAATACAGTATTGTACAAAGGAGATGAAATATTTCATACATATGAAACATTAATGTGGGCACTCTCTGTTTTTTGCTGTTGTTTTAAGTGTTTGCATTTGAATGCACTGGTATGGAAATTTGAGGTGAAAGCTGACAAACCTGGAAATTTGTTTAGCCACATAAGTACCAGCTGCAGCTCGGTCAAGTCCCAGCTTTCAAAGCAGAAATAAAATCCCTGTGTGCTTTTATTTAAAATGTCATTACACAGAAGTCCAGTCAGACTGTCACGGAACGTATCAAGTAAGGGTTGCATAGGAATTAAAAAACATAGGAGTATATTTTTGGGATTTACTACTTGAATGGATGTAGAGCTGAAAAGTGTTATGCCCAATTACTGATCTTACCCTGCTGGATTCGTGGTCTGAAAACATAGAGAGTCATTCCAAGGATATTTGAAAGAACCCAGTGAAAAAGTCAGTAGTAACAAATTAAATGTAATGAAGATCCCTTGTGGAAGGTGTTGTCTTTCTTGAGAAGTGACGGGTGCATGTTCAGAGTAAATGCCAGGACATCACTCACATATTTATATCTCTGTAGTGCTCTAAGGAAAACTGCTCAAAACTTTATCTGTAGTCAGTAAGTAACATATCCAGTTAAAATGTAAGCAGCTTTCTCAATGAAATATTCATTATGAATCTACCAATGTTTAGGGTGGGATGGGAGATATATTTCACTGCTTTTTTTATTGCTTGAACGAGTAATGAGGGCTCCTTCAGGAGGCTGTGGCACTTGCAAAATACGATTCATGTCTAGCACTAACCAAGAGTCCTTCTATTTGCTGATTCAAAGCATATATGAAAACTGAGGTGTTAATTGCACTGTGATGAACTTTTCAAAATCAAGAGGGAGTACCTCCTCGTAGTTGAAGATTCCCAGCTGAAGGCTGACCATGGTCTCTGCTGAATCGGAGAGAGTTTTGTAAGAGCAGAGCTTCCAGCCAAATATCAAGTTTGTCTGCAAAGGAAAGAAGGCATATCTTGCATCATAATCAGAGTCCTTGCTGCAAATCAGCTGATGACTGATAATTCAGAGAAAGCTCTTCCAGTCTGTCGTCAGCCATGAAGCTTTTTTGTCTTTTTGCTCTATTGGATTTTTTTTTCTCTATTTGTTTGTTTGCTTTGTCTACGGAGGTGTGCATGAGCTGTAAGACATTTTATCCTGGATTTAAGAATCATAGAATTATTTATGTTGGGAAAAAAAACTTTTAAAAAGACCAATAATTATTTAATCTCATTAGAATGAAAATAATATTTTATTTGCATCTTGAGTTTTACTATGATAGGCATAAAAATAATTATTTCCCACCTAAAAAGAAGTCAAACAGAAAATCATACTTTGTGCACTCTTGCCAGTTTGAGCTTTACTCAAAAAATGACTTTTCCTGTACTTTGCTGTGTCCTTTACACCTGTTACACACAGAAAATCCTTTCTTGTTTGTTTGTTTGTTGTCTCCGTCTTTGATTTTTGTACTGAATTTCGGAATTTCAGTTTGCAAAGAAAGAAGCAGGTGGATATTTTAACTGCCTTCACATATATGGAAGAATTAGAATCCAGTCTTCTAACGTAAGGTTTAGATGGGCAGCTTTGTTCAGTTTTATCTTTCAAAGACACGTTGCTCTCCCCATTCAGAAACAATTCATTTAACCTGGCAGTGCCTCAGTGCAGACTGAAGACAAGAGAAACCACAGTCATACTCACAGCAATGGAATAGGCGAGAAACATGATTGCAATAACAGCGATGAATCCAGAGATATCACCCCATGCTCTCCTTAGAGTGGAGGTGATCATGTGTAACTTAGGGTTGAGCCTCAGTAGATGCCACAGTTTCACTGTGGAGAGAAGCACGAGGAAAGCAATCAGGTAGCCAAGAACTGCATCGGCTCTTGCTGTTTCATTAAAGCTTACAGAGCTGTTAGAAACAGAGAAAAGATATATTAGACCATCACACAGAAGCCTGGGAATGCATGCATTCTGGAAAAGCCAGTCACTCTGAACTTGTTTTCAGTGGAGAGCTAACTTGAGTTTTTGCTTGGCTGTTTCTGTCTCTGCTCCCTGCTGTGTGCACACAAAAAGCTCAGCTGTACATGACTGTGCTTTGTTTCCCTAAATTATCCTGTGATTCTCTGAGCTTGCTCTTCTATGGCCATTTTCTAGCAGATGCTATTATTTTCCATTCGTGTTAAATATTGCTGTCCTCTGCCCTATGTTTCTTGATGGTAAAGAATAAAGCAGATGATTTACTAGCTTGGATGTCCTGTAGCAGCCAGGGACCTAGAAGCTCAGTTAGTTCTTCCTAGGGTTATTGCTTACTCCTCTTTGTGCTCCTGGTAGTAGCTGATGTCTCGGCTCCCAAGGATTGTCCTCTTCACAAACACTGACAGGGCACTCCAGCTAATCAGTATAATGGCCACCTCCAGGAGATTCCACTTGCTGTGGAAATATCTCCATTTCAGAGTCTTCATCAGTTTTCCCTGTGAAAACAGAGCCTTACTTTTGCAGTCCAACACTGTATCACACAGTAAACTTCTCAAGATTAGGTCTCTGTCCTCCACAATAAAGCAGACTTCTGCACATCATAATTTCTCATCATCTTTGACATTCTTGCCAAACAAAATGTCACTTTCTTGCTTTTTAATGAAGATACACGATCTGATTCAGTCTTCCACTGGTGCAAGTCAGCAGCAGCACTACTGAAATCAACTACTGAGCTAAAGCTTTCACAAATGAAAGACAAAAGGTAATGCTGTCAGCAGGATTTTCCAGTGTATCTCACCTGAACGATCATGTAGTACCCGATAAAGAGGAAATAAATTACTTCTGCAGCAACAACAAAAATGTGAAGACTGTTGGTGTACGGGTAGAGCCGGACACTCTGCAGCACTGCACTTGTGAAAAAGGCCCCTGGAAAATAACGGTGGTCAGCTCAGTGCTGTAATAATTACATCCTTCTGTTTTCATTCAAACAATTTAGTTCATTAATAAGAGCTCCATACGCACATTCACATCAGTGTCAGTCCGAATCCAGTTATACTGAGATTTAAGCCCGACTGTAGGAGTAGCCCTGTAAATGTTCTTTGAAAGTTTCTTCAAATTTTGGACAGTCAGTGGCTTTTGGGATGCTAATGCCCTTATGTGTGGCAGTATGATATTAATCCCAGCAAGACTGAGTTTGGATTAGACTACAGATGTTAACTGAAACAGGAAGGACTGCAGATATAAATCTGAATCTCATTCTGAAAAGAAAATGAGCCCAGTTTTGTGGTTTGATAGGGGCATAGGTTCTCACCTAAAGCGTTGGTTTCAAACATCAGGCTTACAATGCAGAACAGGTTCACATTGGCATTGTAGACTGTAAATTCAACAAACACTGCTCTTGTGAAGGTGTCCAGCCAAACGTTGTTGAAAAGGTACTGGAGAATTCTGCCAAAAAATGTATAGCCAGTGAGATAACTCATACAGTATCATACACTGTATCACACGGAGGATAGAAGTGCATCATTTCATAGAGAAGCAGCACACCCAAGGTAAGATGTTTACTATTTCTTTAGCATTATGTATTTCTGCAGCTATGTGAATATGGAATCCACACATGCAATTAGGAAAAACAGGTTATAATTTTTGATCTGGTTGTTATCTAACATGGAGAAAGATTATAAGAATATAAAGTACACTGAAGTCATCACAGTAATATCTTCAATATTCAGCATAATCCACAGTAGCAAAATTCAGAATGCAATCTGAGATGAATCCTAAATAGAACAGAGAAAAGAGCACCATTATCACTACAGCACATTCACTAATATTTTACCAGGATGCAAGCTTTACCTGGAGGCATTCTGAGGATCAGTTCCCAGGTGAATCACATATCCCCCTCCCCCATAGAAGGCCAGTTTGCCCCAGACGGGCTGCCCTCTCAATTTGGTCTGGCTCTGATAATGCCAGGCTGAGCTCAAGTCTGAGGAGATATCAAAGACCGAAGTGTTCCAGTGTTCTCCATAGTCTGATGTGTCTTCTGTTTGTAGAGAGTATGGAGCATGGCATTCCTGAATCACATGCTGGAGGGTGGCTGAAATAGGGCAGGTATCTCCCTTCACTCTCACTTGGCGAATTCGAGCACTGCCCACCAGCTTGGAGTTCCCATCTGTAATGAACCCTAAATGGGAAATGGAAAAGACAGAACTATGATTAATATTTCTTCTTTTCATTTATCCTTCTGATATGCATTAACATTTTCCTATAGATTAAAAACAAAAACCACAACAATACTGTAAGCAAAATAGTGCTTGCGTTGATTTAAACTGAATTCTTGGAAAACATCCATAGACAACAGTTTAGTATCATTACCTGTCTGACTTTATAGAGAAGGAAACAGAGGTCTGCAGGAGAAAAGAGACCTGCCTGGAGCAGAGTACCCATGTGCAGTGCTCACACTTGATCACAGCTGGTAGTGCCATGTCCAAGAGTGAACCATGCCATTGTATGCTCATAGGTGCTCTAAAATGTGAGCTTGAACATGGCTCATATTTGTTAATGGGTATGGACAGATGGAAACATAGTGATGTTGTATAATTATCCTTCACAGTGACCTAAGACAGAGTGTAGAGCTCTCCTGATGGAAAGCTTTATAGTGCCATCTATCTGCCATTCTGCTTTTTTTCTTAGCGATGGAAAGAAGCTTAATTGAAACTGAGACATGTACCTGGAATGGGTAATGTAAAATGTGAAAAATTAAAAAACTCGGTGCAAAACTTGAGTTTTGTATTAAAGATAATGAAAATTTCAGGCCAGGTGGTACTTGGGGTCGCGATGTGGGGATTTTGTTATCCACTAGTATTCAGTTTATGAAAATTCACATTAGTCTTACACAGTCACAGTGTCTTCCTCCAGTCAAATATGCATGTACAAGTTGGAGATAGACATAAAAGATAATGTTTCAGAAGCTGGCAAGCTGAAGTGAATCAAGACGATATCAAAACTGTCTCTGCACCTTTATATGATCCATAAAGATTTTTTACTAAAGTAGTTTTTGCCCATGTGAAAAAATCCTCATAACTGTAGACATCACAGAATCCTTCTGAAAAACTGCTCTCAATATGCTTGTTTAAATAGTAGGAATTGGGATCTCTTTGCCCATAGGCAACCAGTAACAGCATCCATAAAAACCCCAGATAGGCTGGAAAAAAAAAACAACAAACACAAGAAGAGTCAGTACACGTGATCTCAGAATTTTGAACTGCTGTTCAAAATAGATTGTGTGAATGATTACTGCTGTCACCACTTATTAGGTTAAAGAGATGCTTTGCAAGAATCTGACTGACTAGTGCTAATGAATTTACACAAGTTATGTCAAAGGGCTGCAGTTTCAGCATATCACATCTGAAACACAAGTAGGAATCTGGGAAGTGATTGAGAAAATAAGCATGGAGGCTGGCTGAACATTAGCAATAATGACAGCTCTAAACAGAATGAGTAGCTTAATTTTGTGTTTAATGTTTTCACTGATGTAAAAGTCCTGATGAATACGGCTGAATAAAACAAGATAAACTACATATGAGTAATACCCAGGATTTCTCTGATTATGGCAAATGCCTTCTGCTCCTTCATGCAGTTGATTTTCATTTTCTCAACATCAGCTGCAGGAGGTGGCTGGTAAATATTGCTTCTGCTGTCCCGTCGGGCTCCAAAGAGAGGATTTGAGTCGCCTGTGGGTGAGAGCAATAATACCTGGAATCAGTCAATAGATCATTTGTATCCTGCTTTTCACTTTGGCCACTGTAAGGGAATACTTAATGCTTTCCCGTAGGAATTCAGGTGATGTTGCTTAAAGAAGCAGTATGGTAAAGCACACTGGGGAATGATTGAGGTCCTGAGCAGCGTGTCAGGTTTAGGTACAGGTGTCTTTCTCTGCCCATTCAGGTGTATAAAGGTAACCAGTGAATTCCTCACTATGAATCACATACTGGTGCATAAAGCATTCAAAAATCTCAGAGAACATTTCACTTTTTAAAATAATTTCTCACTTTACAGACAGTTACCTGGTGCAGGTAAAGGTCCATCAATGGCAGTGTTTTCTTCATCCTCATGTTCCACCTTCTTCAGAACCAGAGCAAAAAAAGCAGCAAATCCCAGCACCTGCAAGAATTAGCTGTAGACTCATGGCATGCCCATTAATATACAAAGCTCAGGGTTTGGCACACACCACTTTGGGTACAGCTACTGTAGAAGAACAACTGTCCTTTGGCTTTGTGCAACTTGTGCAGCTGAAGCTTGTAAACAGTGCACAAACCCCAACTCAACTGCTTTTGTTGTATGACATATCTTCTTTGGTCACCTCGTCTACTATTAAACTCTACCAAAATGAGAGATGAAACTAATGTAATGCCAACAAATGACAACAGAACTCTGTAATACATGTTAGCTTTTGTTTTAAGGGTAAAACGACTTCAATTTCAGATGTTAAATCCTGTGGTTCTTTTAAAGGTACTATTTTCCTGTAATGATAGCAGAATGAGTTCATATTGGCCAGTGGTTCCATTTCTGAGGATCTCACCTTTAAGGGCTGAGTGATGAAAAGACTTTCAAAGAAGGAGATGGCCATGGAGATCAGCCATTTGATGGAGTTCTCCTTACCATAATGCAGCCCATAGAGCATGGTAAAGAACCCAGATACACCACTGGTGGCTGCAACAAGGAACCAAGCAATGAACACAAACCACCAGGGCAGCCCTTTTGAAGAAGAACTTTTCTTTTCATCACCAGAGTAGCTCGGAGTAAGTGACCACCTTCAGAATCAACCAGAAGAGAAAAAATCATTCAGCACTGGAATAGAAACCAAAATCACGTTCTTCAGGTTCTGTGACTATAGGCAACATTTTGTGATTTAAATTCTTTTAGCTATTTTCTTCTTTGAGCTAATGTAACTACACAGAATATATGGATGGCAAAAAGTACAGCAGGCAAAGATACAAGAAAGTGTGCAGACACCAGCGAAAATAAAAAGAAATACAATGGTCTTACTTGCTTCTCATGCGTTACTGAAACTCCAGTAGAAATGTTGACCAAAGAAAACCAACCATGAGTGCCTTTAGGTGCTGGATGCATCTCATGATCACCACAAAGGTCAGAGAGATAATTAGTGGTATTGTTTTCAATTCTTTCTACTTAATTATCAGGTTTCCCATTGCCTGCTTATTCATTTTATTTTCCCCATGCATTATTTAGAGATCAGAGAGACTTCCAAAGCTCAGTGATTATCTTCAGCACTTTACAGCCATGTAGCACTGCACTGTGACATCCAGTTTTGAAAGCAAAAGTGACAGAGAGTGAGGATCTGTCATTACTGCTTTTATGTGTAGTTCACTGCATTGAAATTTCTTTGTTGCTCCTACAATAGAATAATAGTAAGGCATGTTTCTGCAGCTATTATAATGATTATCTACAACATATTAAGTAGTAATTATTTTCAACTCACCGCTTTTGAATTCATGACCTGAATTTACTTACACCGAAAATGGAATGAGAATTAGGTTACCTCTCAGTGATGGATGCTGACGTGCAAATCTGGTTCTGCAGGAGGTTCTTCATGTGCTGAACCTGCCGAACTGCTTGAGTATAACTCTGAGGTATCTGAAATTTATGGGGCCCCAGTAATTCGAGCTCCATCTCTACCTGCTGGAGTTGCATGTACAAGCAACGGCTGTAATCGCTGCACTTCAGTCGCTCACACATTCCCTTTTCAGGACTTGGGCTTCTTGTTTTTTCTGCAGGAAAAGAATTTACCTTTGAACTCTTCATCCTCAAATGCTCATGGAAAAGACAAAAAGAAGTAGGTCTTCGTGAAATCAGTGGGATTGTTCGCTCACATTATTTAATTGAAATTGAACCAATGCCTAAGTTAAAGTTGGACTGAAAGGAACAGCAGCAGCACAAGGCCAAGAAGAAAATAAACGGGACAAAAAAACTGATATTTCTGGGTCTTGATAATATAGTTAATAATTAGATACTGATAAGGCTATTAGCTAACATTTCATTCTACAGCAAAAGAAATAGAGATTTCAGTGTATTTACTTGGGTGGTAGAAGGTGCACAGTGAAAGGAGAAGGCAATGGGCACAAATTGAAACTTAGGAAATTCCATCTGAACACAAGAATAACTTTTGTATTGCAAGAGTGATTGGACACCATGGAGGGGTTGCTCTGAGAAGCTATGGATTTTCCATCCTTGGATACTCAACATTCAACTGGATGCAATCTTGGGCAATCTGTTCCAGTTGACTCTGCTGGAGGATCCCTTCCAACCTCAACTGTTCTGTGATTCTGTAATTGCCTTTGAGTCAGAATGTAAAAGCTTGGGTCATCCCATCCAGAGTCACCATCAATTTCAATTCAAAGGTTTCAGTAAGCGTGTCACATTAAGCTGTTTACCTTGTATATCCATAGGACCTAGTGTGACAGTTACAAGGTCATCCTTCTTTTTGTTTTCATCGTAAAACTCTTGCCCAGCTCTATTCTGCTGGCAAATGACATCTTCAACCAACGCCAAAAGCATGTTGATGTTAGTTGATTTTCCGAGATCTGATACTGAGGTCAGTGATGGAGCCTTCAAAGCTTTAAAAAGCGAGTTAGCAATTCTTCTTATGTCCTAGAAAAGACAGCAGCAATATGACAGTGACTCAGACTGCAGTGACTTAAGCTGATGTGGTCAGGAGGTGCCACTGGCTGGGAGCTGCATCTATTGCTAAAATGGGTAAGGATGGCATATCCTACAGGGCTGGATATAACAGCTGGATATGACAGCTAGATTTCAATGAGTTCAGCAATTCAGTTTTCAGGATTCAGTAATGCAGCTGACCTGACTGTGGGCCTGAGCTGCGGAAGACAGGGTCTATGATACCTTTTCTCTTCATTGTCTTGCTTGATGTTTGCTTTGAACTCAGTGAACACAGTGATTTTAATCACTGTGCAAGGGGATGAAATGTACATAGGCTAATCTTGCTGAAGTTGAGGATTACCTACATGTGGAATAAACTGTGAAAGTGGATAACCCTTTGCTCATCCCATGGCAGTATAGGTGAGTAACTGAGCGTTCTGCACCAAAGCACATTTGGCTCATCGTGCCGGACAATTTGAAAGTCTTCTGGCAGGGAAGATTTCTGCTCTTAAACTGGAGGCGTCGAGTAGCGCAGGACAGCAGAGGGCAGTGCAGGACCCACCGGGAAGCAACCACAGGCGCTTACCTTTGTTACAGCCTCTGGAGTGAGCGAGGTGGCTGGGGTGACCTGTGGGGCGGGAGATAGGCTTGGGGACACTCGGACATTCTTTCTTGGCTTCTTCTCTGTGCCCTGCACGGCTGGCCGGGGTCGCGTGTTCCTGAAAATTTGCACGATGAGCAGGTTGATGGGGAACATGAGGAGGGAGCTTTCAAAGCCGATCATCACTTCCTGCCATGTGAACTCAATCTTACCTGTCAAGATCAAACAGGCCAAAGGAATAAAAATAACCTCAGCAACCATCACATCTGTCTCATGAAAAAGTCCATTTGCTCAACTGTTCCTCTTCTAGATTCTGCTGTCTCTCTATTTTCCTGTGCAAGTAATGAAAACAATTGTTACCCAAATCCATTTTCTGCTCAGCTGGATCCTTTGGCACTCCCCAAAACATGATGCTGGTCAGCATGGTGCAGAGCAGCAGTGAGAAGCAGCATGACACGCGCTGGGCTCGTGTGAAGGAGCTTCGTGGGGAGCGGCTGAAAACTGAGTACCAAATGTGCCCATCCTGGAAACCCTTGGAGGTCTTCATGAAAAACAGGTTGCTGGGAAGGAAGAGGGGGAAATTAAATGAATGCTTAGGAAGGAGAGGAAAGAATAAAGCTGTATTTCAGGGTCCTGGCCTGTTCATGCTAGGCATAGTCAGAAGACATATTAACTATGAAAAAAAATCAAATATCATGGCTTGATTTACATAGAACGGTCATAGCTTCTTATGTACTTTCTTTCTGGCCACACCATGGTGGTGAAGATAATCACGAGCAGTTTCTATATACATTTTTAGGGAAATTACACTGAAGACAAGATGCTTGGGTTTCCACATGTCTCATTAAAGCACTCTTTAACATCAGTATTTCCAGTCTGATGTAACCGTTAGGGTAATAGTCAGGTACTGTTAATCATCTTTCTTCTTCTCCTCATTCAGAGCCCTTTCAGAGCAGTGGAAACACCCCACTGTTTTCTTTTTGTCTGGAGAGTTAATGTTTGCATACTCGCTTCTCTAGATTGATTGTTATTAGGAGTAAAAAGGCATAAAATAGAAGTTACCTGAACTGCTTCATGTCTTGCTCTGTAGCTACTGGGAACACTTTATCTAGGACACATTCTCCAATATCAACTGCTAGCCAGGAATTACAGAGGAAGTACCATTTCTGGTCCCACGCAAGGTCATGTACCAATACTCGATTCACATACCTGGTGGGAAAACATACAGGGCACAGTCATGTGTAACTGAGTGGTATGAAATTCAGGACTCAGCGGAACTATGGAGGACAAAGTCTGACCTCTGGCTTCATTGGCTGCGTCTGAGTGGTGAGGCACAGAACACACATCAGAGTGCCCTAAAATACTGCTTTTCTGAATACTTATGTTGGTGACCTGATCCAGAGCATGTTACAGCTCCCATCTGATCACTGTGCCTTCGTTTCATGCAATATTTTCTATAGTATGTTTGATGAAAGTCTTGCACTAACTCAGAATCAACTTGTAGTATAAACTGCATATGGGAAGTATTCCTTGTCCTGCAGTTTAGACCATGATATGATCTATTCATCTAGGGAAAAAAAAGAAAGGCGAAACTAGTCCTTACTTTCTAGAACTGTAGAAAGAATAACTTCAAGTGCTAGGAAAGGAAAGCAGTTGTCATTGTAAACATATTTTTGAATGTTTATTATTGCCTTGTATGCACTTACCAGGATGGATTGTCCCCTGAATTATCATGCCACAGTCGAATACTCTGCAATTCCCCTAGAGGAAAGAGGGTACAGAGTAGGAAAACATCCACTCCTCCACGTTCAAACACTGGTGTCTCAGGATCAGTTAGATGATGTGGCTCACTCTCTCCTTCTAGTCCATAGAGAGTGAGTGTCACCTGCAGAGTAAGATAGCGAAATGAAGGATCACTCATCTCAGAATCCTATATGTGATTATTCCTCTGACACACTCTGCCCACTGTCTAGCTTAGAAGTTGCATTTGAACTGTGCTGTTCAATAGCTTGGGTGCTCCTTTATTGCTCCAGTTCTCTAAATGAGTGCACAGCTCTCTTACTGCACAGTACAGCTGATACCTTGGAGGTTGTGGCTGCCCCACGGCGATGTCCTGTGAAAACTGTCACAAGATAACGATACTGAGCAAAGGGATCATTGTCTTCCAGCACTGTGATTTTTGCCTGCAGAGTGACATGATACAAACAGGGCATTAGCAGCTCTGTAAGTATAGATACTTTAAAGCTGTGGGTAGGAACATATCATTTTCTGAACAGTGTGAATGGGTTAGGGTTAGATGAAGACTTGTGTTAAAGCAGGACAGTCAAAAAGGCAATTGGCCTACATACTTTCAGTCTTTATTAATGCAAGACTTACTTTGGCATCATCCTGGATGTCTTTCCTTCGGGCCCAAATAACTACAATCACATATATCAGAAAGATACATCCTACTGTGGTCACCACGATGGGGTTGTCCACAAATGTACCAAATAGCTGTGCAGTTCTGCTAACATCAACAGCATTAGGCATGACAAAGAAGGAGCTCCCAAAGAAGGTCAGATGGTTGCAGAGACATTGTGTGCTTCTAGAATTTGTTTTTGGTCCTACCTGAAAACCAGAAAAAAACTCTGGATAGAAGATTTTGTTTCAAAGTATTGGATAACTTACCAAACAAATGAAGACAGTGCTGAGAATGGTGAGTTATTATAGAGAACTGCTGTACAGGAACAAGTTATTATTAGGTATATTAATTCTGATGTCCAGCCAGAAAAAGGCATTAATAATATGATACAAACTTGTCTGAACTGCTCTGTTTCTCTTTATGTAGGAGTGCATCCCAAGAAGTGTAATGGAAATGCAATTTGAAATTTAGTCATAGTGGATTAAATCTCACTTCTTCATTTTACTAAAACATCTGAGAATTATGTTATTTTGTGGTATGAATTCAATGGGGATCACGGGGGTTGGCTTTGGCGTATATAATATAAAGATTTCTTTATTTCTCTCTACTTACCTGACATCCATAGCTGTTCCAGTTCCCTTGCTGCTCATCCCAAAATACACAGCGGGATGCAAAGCAAGTGACAGCTATAGCTAGCCCGTCATAGACAGTGGAATCCATTCCCATGTCTTGTGAAACCATCAAGTAGTAAGTTCCCTCTCCAAAAATGAGTTCTTCAGGGCTAAGAACCCAGGTATTTGTTTCACCTCGAACAAAAATATTTATTTTCAATGTACATGTGGAAATGTGTATTTTGAATACAGCTATATTGCATATAATAAATAAACTGAACAAAATAAAAGAAACAGGTACCAAATAATCCTTTGCAACTCATTGTTCAAAGCATCCCACTCTGCTCCTGAAGCACAATAAATTGAAATTCCTTTGAGAAGTTTCTTTCCAATTAGATGTCAGGCTCATTCTGCAAATTTGTGGTCATAATGACCCCATAAATTTGTCGGTGAGCACTCCATGATATCCGTACTGAATGCCCTCAACTTCCCAGTAGTGAACATGTACAGGGCTAAGTCTTTTGGCTACATAAGCCCAGAATGCAAAAGTTAACTCATCACTAACATGCTGTCTTACCTCCAGTAGTTTTCTTATAGAACAGATGACTTTTCATGTCATAGTTAGTTTCATTTGGCCGATAACCATATCCTAAGTAGAGTATTAGTGGAATGTCTTGTTCACATTCCAGCTGAATCACTATTGATGTGTTTTCTGAGGTGATGTTTACTTGGAAAATGCTAAAATTGCTCAGGTTCAACTGAATTCTATCTTCCTGGGGTGCAGAATGCCTTGGTAATATTATCTGGTTTTAAACAGAAAGACAAACACAAATAGAGTCCAGCATCTTACTTATCTATAAGCACTGTGAGTTTCTATAGGTACAGCCACACACTAGATAATCTTTTCTATAAGTATGGCTGTCAGAAATATTTTCTTTGATTTTTTTCATGATACTGTCAGCTAACTTCTGAAAAGTCTTTTTCCAACCTCTTAGTGTGATTTTTCATCACAAAATTGGTGATCTTCAGTGCATTTTTTGACAGAAAGCTGAGATTATTACTGAAATAGTGGTCACATGAAGTACATAAATGAATTGCCTAGATGTCAGTTTATAATGGGCTAGGAAACCCAAACGTAAGCAATATGAGCATGCAGTTGTTGGGTATTGAATCAGACATTACATTGTGTTTCAAGGTCACTGTAATCTGGAATGGTTTTCCCCAACCGTTATCGTTGTCACAACCATTTAATTGAATATCATCTCTTTTCTAAGAAATATTTGACATTTTCTTCTTCATATCACAAAAATAACTCCATCACAAATGCACACACCCATTATATATTGAAATGAATACAGTTCCACCATTTGTAGTCAAATAAGACAGTAATATACAAGACAGCCTGTAAACAGAAGGAAGAGAGAAGAGGGATAGAAAATAGTGAGTTTACCTCAATGTTTTCTTTAAGATTGCTGACTGGTATGATCAAGCCATCCAGACCAGTAAGACTTAGACCTCCCACTGTTCCACTGATGTCAAAACTGGTATCACTGGAGAAAAAGGGATTCATGGCAAAGCTCACCATCTGTTAGCAAGACATTAATAACAATCTCTGAGTTACTGTTAGTATTTCACTATCTTAAAAATTAAATTGGGGAATAGACCAAATAAATTTCTCGACCTCAGACTCAAACAGTACTCAAAAGAAGCCCATGTCCAGTTTTAAATACATGCCTAAATTCTGTGATAGTCCAAACAACTCCAGAAGTGATTTTGATTCTGAAATGCAGATTGTATATAACAGTGTGAGGTTCCATTCACTGGAACTGTTTTGTTTTTCAGGTATCAGATATCAAAATGCAATTGCACAAGCCTTTCTGAAAGAAACTCCATCAAGCCTGTGTCACTCCTCTTGGAATTAGAAACAAAAAATCTGTTTTTACTATGATAGCAATGCGTGGAATTGTGTGTCAGAGTCATTATTTCAATAAGAGGATTCACAAGCCTCTCCTAACACTCAGGTGGATATATTGCTGTTGTTATAAGGAGGTTCTGGTCATTTTTTGGCAGAACTGGAAAAGACACAATGAAAAATAAATGTTTTACAAGTATTATAGGAGTTTCATGAGAGTGTGAAATTAATCTGAGAACTCTTTGAAAATTTCTTATAAAAACACCACAATAATATGCAATCCATTGCTCTGAGGGTTAAAAACAAAATCTCCTAACTCGGATCACAGTTGTGCTATGATCAAGACATTTGCAGACCTTCTGTCTCCTGCAGGATCTGAGTGCCTCAGAATCGTTTGCTTCTAGCTGGGATGAAAAAGGTCTGCTGCCTGCTAGTTTGAATGTTGAAGGGACTCTGAGCTGTTACGTACCCCTCAGAGCATTAGATGTAAACAGACAGCAAATAAGTTTTTAGCATTGATTCCATCACCTTCTCTAACCATGCAAGTTTAAAGCAAGAGTGCATTTGAGGGGCTGAGGGGATGGGGAATTTAAGTTTGCACAGCCAGCTTCCTGCAATTAAGATAAGTGAAAGCTTCTTTGAGCAAAAATGGCTGGAGGGATGACTTGTGTGCTTGCACACTCATTGTAAAAGGAGAAAGGACTCTAAAATTGCTTGACCAAGAATGTAAGTTGGAGGTCAGATTGAGTCAGATTAAAGCTGTTTACTTGCCCTTATATCCACTGTTTCATCATCAACTTCTGAAATGCCAAGAGAGGAAGCAGTTGGGAGAGTAAAACTGGCAGAGCTGGAAGTGGAGATATTAATGGATGTACCATCCATATTTTCTGTTTGTAATCTATCCAGTCCAGTTGGACACAAATGAAACAGAAAAAAAGAGAAAGAAAATAAAAACTCAGAAAACAAACAAACATACAGACAGTCAATAGTATGAACTTCAAACACAGAGAAAAAGCTCTCTCAAAAAGTATTCTTTGTGAGTATAGCTTATCTGGAAAATTATTTCTGACTCTGCCAGCAACTACCTTAGCACATTGTCTCTGATGTAGTAGTCCACATAACACTACCACAGAGTGTATACATCAGGAAAAGGGGTGCAATTGGCATATCTGTTTGTGAAGCTGTACCCAATTAGGTGTACTTATGCAAAAGGTGCACCTGCTCCAGGTGTGAACATGATTTCTACACACAGTTAAATGTGAATGAAAATCAGACTCTCAGGGATGACTGCTGGGAGTGGAGAATGCTCATCAGGCTCCTTATGATTATATTTGCTCTTGTCAATCAGTTTCATATATCATGTATTATTGGCAGCTTGGCCACTTGGAAAATAACAAAGAACTTACCTTTTAAAGACAAGAACTGCTAGTAAGTTCTTTGGTCGAAGAAAGCACAACATGAGAATTTTTAAGATGATGTTACTGAAGTTAATTGGGGTCCAAGCTGTTCTTACAATTAATTAGCAACTTCATCATGCTGTTGAAGTTGTCATTATGCTGCAGCATTAATTTGAGTGGTCGGGTAGTTTCAAGGATAATGCAGTGACTATTTGAGGAAAGTTTGGGTGCCTATCAGGAGCTTGGGGGGGGTGGTTGGGGAAGGTAGAGAGACAGACAGACAGACAGACAGACAGACATTTGTTACTGTTACCTGTTTATATACATTGTGGCAGAATGAGTGGTAAGGACCACGGGTTCATCATCTGGCTCCTTCCCAAACAGAAGTGCGCTCTGCAGATTTTCAACTGTATTCAGGAGTTGGTGGGACACCAAACTCTAGACAAGCATTAGAGGAGGGATCATGTAACAGAGCTGCTCAGAATCAGTAAGTTGCTCATTATTGGCCCTTAGTTCCTTTTATGATGAAATATTGTTTTCACTGTGTCTTATAAAATTGCCAAACTCGGTGATGTTTTTGTGAATCTCAGAGAAAGTTATACTTGTCAGCAATTCAAGTTCTGTAATTCTCATGAAAACATAACATACTGCAAATAAATGTCTTACAGTAAGTGGAAATCTAATATTTAGAACTTCTGTGCACTGAAATTTGAAGACTACAAACATGATACCATTTTCACGCAAGACATTTATGTGTTTGTGTATGCTAATGCCCTTTCACTGCACATTTTAGTGTCTGAAAAGCAAGAGCTAATTACCTGCTAGCTGTGTTACTGTTGTGTTATCCTGGGGGAGTCTGAACACTTTGTAGCATTTTCTCTCGGGTTAGATTTATATCATACTCCTTTGCAGGACTGACAGCTAAAGTGTATTCAGTCCAGGAATTACACAAAGGGAAACAATTCGCGTATAAATAGGAAGGCTTAGGACAAAAGAAACACATTGCTTAATTCTGAATAGAAAATCAGAGTGGGCTTTCTGAAAAAACGTAAGCAGAAACCTGAACAGATTTCAGCTCTGAAGTAATGAAACAAGTCGTGAATACTAAATACCTGAGTCTTCCTTGAACTGAGGGGAATTTGAAAAAGGAGGGGATAGAACCAAATCTGGAAAAAAAATTTATTGCAATCCATCTACTTGTCATCCCATAGAGGCCTTAACACTGATCCTGTCTTCTACAGTGCACTGTCCTGTGCCCCACCCGATGCCAATTTAAAAATGCAAGGCAGCAAAACTCTTTAAAATCTTCTGAAGCAAGTAGGTGTTCAGCCACATTCTTCTATAAACAGGGGTGAATCAAAATTACCTGCTCTGCCTCAGACACTGTAGTGTTCGTGGCTCTGTTTTGTGTGGAGGCTTGAAGGACATTGCTCACTGCATTAAATAGGTAGCTGGCTGCATCCGTTAGTTTCTGATCATCTCTGCTGTCCTCTGTGTTTACAGTGAGCAAGGATGCGCTGACATCCTTCAGTGTATTGCTGGCTTCCACCTGCATGGGAAGTAAGTGGAGAAGTGTCTGTTTTATTACTACCAGTGACAAAAGCAACACATTGTGCCATGGAGTCTTTTACTGAGTATTGCAACATAAGTAATCCCATGGGACTATTTGTGGCTAAGGCTGTTTTACTGTAATTACTTGTGCTGGGCTAACACTTCAAACACTAATAAACATGGTATACTACTAGTTAACATACTAATGTGTAATACAGACCTGAAAAGCGCAGCCTGCTTCCACAGATTCACCCCATAAAAACAAGATGAATAATATTTGAAAGAGGCTTATCATTCAAACCCTGGGCCAGGATACATTTCAGATGTACAGTAACGTAGTAAATCAGGTTACACTTCAGAGTGATGAATCCAAAAGATAACCACACTCAAATGCATGTGCATTTCAATCTTAATTCCCATATAGCCTGCTGGATCATCAGCAAGTAATACCTTTGGCCTTGTGCTATGCTAAATGCCTAACGAGAATGAATCTCACAGTTTTTATTTTGTGCCCAAGCAAAGCTAATGATTGCTTTGTGATTGTGAAAGCACTGGCCAGCATAATAGCCCAGGGTGAGAGAGCCAAGCAAATTCAGTGCAAGCTCGTACACGTCCATTCCCACAGTCTGCAAATGCATAGCAGCCTCCTGCACAATGAATGCTGAATCTGAGCTATATTCTTGTCCTGCTGAAATTAAACACATACTGCTGAAATGCTCCCAGGCCATTATCTGGCTATAGCTGTATAATGTACCAGAAATCAGGACAACTCTCATTGCCAGTTTATTTGTAAAATTTCCACAGTGACAGTTTATTCTGCTCTTCCATGTGCTTACTTTTTACTCCTTAAACACAAATAGCATTATCTGCTAATGTCATATTGTATTCAAGACTCAAGGAACACTTATGCAAGGCCAATCTTAACATTTGTACTTGGTTCCTCTGTTTGTGCTGCCATGTTCCTGCCATGCTGCCTGCTCACTGAAAGTTAAGGTTTCCATCTTAAAGATGTATCAGAGAATGTAACTGGCTGGCCAGTCATAGCCAGCCAGTTATAGGATATAACCATAGGATTGTAGTGGCTGCTGAGTCAGTGTTTGTGGTTCCAGATTTGCTTACTCAAAACAGTAAAATGTATTCCCTGCTGGTCAAGACATACATGCTGGTGTAGTTATAAAAAGAAATGAGCAAAGAACAGATAACTGTAAGGCACTGACATACTTCCAAGGTTAGAAGGGTTCAAAAGAGTCTGTACTGCTAGTATGTGGAGACAGAGGACGAATTGCTTCTTACCTGTGCTGAGACAGACAGCTCTTCAGTCCTGTAAGTGATTTCTTTCAGTACTTCTGACATCTTAAGAGCAGTTTGTACTGATGTTACGTTAACAGCAGAGAGAGTTGCCAGCATTAGCCCTCGGAGCTTGAAATGGAAAGGGGTAATTAGGTGAAAGATTAAGATGCTAATTAAGACCGTGCAAATAGTGCTATATATTGACAGCCAGGGTTGCTGTGAAATATGTGGTAGAATAGCACTCCTCCAGGATCATGTGAAAGGATGTTAGGTCTGCTGAGAAGGTACCACTTGCCTTAGTAGCTGTGTAACCACATGAGTTTTGTGTTTCCTTCCAACACAGAGAATTTTTACATTTAACATAGATCAGGAGTGAGCAATTACTTCTCAGATGCATGTGAATTACCACATAAATTCCACTTCCTGAGAAAGCAGAGCCATGTTCAAATAATAAATCATAACTGAAGGATACGTTGCATTTATCTAGATCTTTTCACCTGAGCATGCAAAGCACAGTGCAAATATAAGCTTGTATCTGAAACATAAGCTTGTAGCTGAAAGGAATAAACTAAAATTACTTGCTGCCTAGAGCTCCAGGGGAAATTTTTAGAGGAAAGGCAATTTATTAATTTTTTTTCAAAATCAAATTAACTGTAAGTTTAAAAAGACTTTTCCAAATTAGTTTAAGTGATTGCAGTAAGAATTGTGAATGTGTTCCTTTACTGATGGATGATAAAACAAATTTTTTGCTTGGGCAAGTAGTGATTAACAGCCGAAACCCGTGCCAAACACTGAGATGGATACCAGAAACTTGAAACCTCCGTTGATTTGGGGAGCTGATATATGAGCTTTTTGTTACTTAAGAGTTGCCAAAGAATATGAAGAGTCCATTATAATGCACCGTACTGCAAGAAAACAAGTGTCTGGCTCACCTCTTTTCGTGTGTCTGTCTGTAAAGATATGTTAAAGTTTTCATCTTGGGTTTCATGATTAAGGACTGAAGTCACTGACTTAAACAGCTGGAAAAGACTCATGCTGTTGTTCCCATCTTTTAGGATGGTGTTTGCCTTCTCAGATACAATGGTCTGCAGGGTCAGGTTCCCATCGATTGTATCTGCTTGTATAACCTGATGAGGAAATCAGATACGCTCTTAACATCGCTAACAATTATAGTCGTCATTGAACAGTTTCTGCAATCCTGTCATTGGCAGCCTAGTCAGCATTGGACAGAAAACTACGTTACTGGGGTTTTTTTGTGTGTTTTATTTTGTATTAAATTCTCCAAACAGCTTTGCTGTCTTCTTGGGTCCTTTGACTAAGTGCTGAAGTCATGGACTTGCACAGATGGAACAGATTCATGCTGTTGTTAAAACCCTATAGAATGTTTTTTGCTTTCTAAAGTACAATGGGACATCTTTAGAAATGTCCAAATGTAGGAAAACACCCAGTTCTCAATCTATGACAAATTTCTGTCATTTTAAGATGTGAAGCATGGGGAAAAGCATAGACTTCTACCAGCCTGATAGGAATCTGCTGGGCAGGCAAAAGCAGGAGTTTTCTGGGACCTACTAGAGAATAACTCCAGATTCTCTAAATACAGCTTTTGTTACCCAATGTCCAAATAGGCCATCTTTTAAAACTCTGTCCTAGAAAAAGAACAGTGGAAGTGTCTCAGCTACTTTGAGTCCACTGAGAATAGCCTCAATTAGACAGGGAAATGGCGATTATTGTACAGTCACAGACATATAATAAATACAAAATGGGAAGAAGTTCCAAAAGCGATTCACAGATTAACATCAACTTGGAACACCTTGAAATAAAGTATTTCTTGTGTGTACCTTCACCGAAGCATTGGTGTGAACTGTATCACCAAAACTGTTGCTAATAGTAATTGTCACGTGTAAAATGAAATTATTTTCCTCTTCTCCAAGTGGGAGATAAACTGGGAAGAGTTCAGGGTCTGGGCCACAGTGAAGGAGAGAATCTGAAATAGGAAAGATGTTGTTACCTAACAGACATCACACAGACACCTCCTACTATCTAAGAACAGGGCTTTGTGGGTTTGCATTGTGCAGACCTGACTGGCTTATACGTAGACAAAGAGCAGAAGCAGGCTGTGCCTTTGCTCTTACTAACAGCAGTAACAGTGCTTGCCAGAAATGTGAAGAAGCACTTAGTCAAACAGTTCACCTCAGGACTTACTCGAGTTCAGATAGAAGCAGTAGTTGAGCTGTGTGCTATGACTTGATTGGCACGAATCCACAGAGCATGGAGTGCTGCAGGAGACTGTGAAAGTGGTGAGCACAGATCCCTGCTTGGGAGACACAGCACAGCTGGGGACCTGGGGCGGCGGCACGGTGCTGACAAGGTAGGTTTGTTCCCCGTAAGCACGCTGAGTCAGTGCTGGGAGGGGAGGGAGCACAACATCAGCAGTGATCGTGATGCGGCAGCACTGATCTGCAGACATCTTACCTATCATGGTAATGATGTGGTTTGTTCAGGCTCCACAAACCTAATAGTGGGCCTAATCAGAAGTGGAATCCCACTACTGAATCAGCCATAAGAAGAGAAGAACTGTTAAGAGCACAGTAGTTTTTGCATTGTAACTAAAATTCCATTATTTGATCAAGTATTCAACATAATGTTATTTTCAGATGAGCCTTAACAAAATTATTAACAGCTTGGAGCGAGAGAACGGAATTTGTCCTGCCATGTAACAGCCCAGAAAAAACTGAATTATTTTAAGGAACCCATAAGTAAAGTAATACCTCTAAACTTGTAGAATTGCTTGTCAGCGAGGCTACCTGTATGTAACATCTGTATGATGTCATGGTGGCAGAGACTATCTCAAAGCAGTCTAACAAACCCTGCTTGCCCCTACCTGTTACTTTAATCTGAAAAGCTTCTCCATGCGTCTGCAAGAAGGAGCTGTTCATTATCAACGTGGATGTGTTGCTTTGAAGCAAATTCAAAGAGTTCTGACGGAAACCAGTCAGGCTGCAGGCTGGAGGGAGGGGTGTAGACTGGAAAGCCAGACAGAAAAGAAAACATGACAGGAGAGGCTCTTTGCTGTGATTTCTGTTGCAGCTGGGCTGCAGAAGTGGGGTGGCAATTTGATGCTATTATGACCGCTCCCAAACACGGCACCACCACGCCTTGGTCTTCCCTGCTATTTCCAAAGCTCCCCTGTGACAAAGCACCACTCCGAGGCTGTGTGGCTTTTCCTCTCAATAGATGCTTATTGGTAGTATTTCTGACAAATCTGTTGCTCTCACCTTGCTTTGGAACGTGTTATCTAAGTACCAGTTATAGTACATGTCCTGGGAGTCCTTCTGTCCAGACACACTCAAAACAACTTCCTCACTAGCATTTACTGGCTTGCAGTTTGCCTCACACCTGTAGGGAAGTAAGACAGTAGCTACAGGTAGTAACTGGATGAGAAGTCGCAGTCCTTGATGTCAGTTGTTTTAACCTTGTTTAATGAACATCTGCAAAATCCCCATGATAAATATACAAGTGACTCACAAATAGTGAAATACTTCATTTTGCAGCAAGAGTTTTAGAAACCTTCATTTTTATTTTCAGCACTGACTGAAGAGCAGAATCCACACACTCTTTATGTTCATTCAAGCTCTCAAGTAAATCCTAGCTCTATTTAACCTCCTGAAAGGATTATGTTAACAAATCATTGAAATGCCATTGATCTTCAGTGAGGCCCCAGATTCCCAAGGACCAGATTTTTTAAAGCATTATTGTGTCTCTGGGTGTCCAGTAGGAATTTCAGACCTATTTTTTACTTTTATTTCCATCATTTCAATTAAGTTTGCATATGGAAATCTCCAAAGCTGATAAAAGGTTAAAATGCCAAAGTGGTTTTGGGAAGAATATTATTCAGTTTATAAAGGGATTATGTGCAGAAATGCAGCCTGGAAAAATGCAGCTAGGTCCATTATCTTTAATTCCTTTGATGGTAATAAATAAATTTGTAATAATCAATAAATTATCATAATTGTAATTAATAATGATACATGTGGTCCTGCACTAGGTTTGTGTAGTGACACTAAGTAGTGAATGCTCAAGTTTGAAAACAGACCTGATTTCTAGGTGTAGATCTTGTTTTGCAGTCACATAGAGGCACTGCTCGTCCTGCCTCTCTTCATTCCCGTGGCTTCGCACTGTGACCCTCACAGTCACTGCTGACTTCGGAGGAGGAAGGCAGGAAGGTGGGATTTGCACCTCTTGTTGGCTGGTAAGGATTATCCGGTGCTGCACACATTCATTCCATTCAGGCCAGCAAGCTCCTGCATGAACATTTCTTTCATAGCTTGAACAGTTATAACATCCCACGTCACTTATAAGGGTCTTACCTGGTACAGGTTTCAAAGAGCTTTATAGAACCACAGGTTTCCTTAACCCAGTTTATAGAGGGGGTAACCAAAGTTCAGACTGATTCATTTGTAACTATATAAGAGATCAAGGAAAAATGTGAGGACAGAACACGGGTGCTCTAAATCCAGTTTTCAGCCATAAATGTTTTTGCATCATGTTTGTTGCCAACTATTGCTGTTCTATTGAGACATATACCTTTCAAATACCTGACTATTGTAAGTCCCTTGGAATTAACTCTTGGCTGTGAGAGTAAAGGCTTAGGATGGGTAGATCTTGTCAAATTCAAACCTTGGATCTATCTTTGGGAAAAAAACAGAACTGCATACCGTGCAGCATTATATAACATGATTAGTTGGGTGTTAAAGCCAGAATAAGGTACAGGGGCATTCTTCATGCACAGTGAATGGCAAACTTTTAGTGCCAGGCAGAAACTAAGCCATCAGTCAGAATATCACAACTTGGTCTGGCCTGACAGTAAGTTTGTCACTCATGAAATAAAAATTGGTGGAAAAACTTCAGGAAATTCACATACCACAGGACCAGAGAAAACTGGAATTATCACTGTTATCTGGCCAGCCAAGAGTAATAGTTGTGAAAGGATCCACATGGCGACTCGGTTTAATATGTATTTTGTTTTTTCTTTGGTGACCCTAAAAAATAAGTAAATATACCAGCTAGGACAATGGCATGTATAAACACATACATTATTTCGTAAATAAATGAAAAAGGTCTGAAAATTTAGACACCGGATCACTCTATGTGCATCTGTGGTTTAAATGCTCTTTCCTTAACCAGTCGTAGCGTGTGAGTATCTGCTGTAGGAATTGCAACAGATGGCATAGAAGAATGACATGTGGCTAAATATTCCCAAACTCTTATGTAATGCATTTCAATTTTAAAGAAAGATCTTTAAATAATACTTACTTTGGTCATTTGGGTATTTGTTTTAGAGGTGTCTTTTTCCTTTGCAGGATCTGTTACAAAAAACAGTCATTGTGATAAGCAATTTAGTTTCAGTAGGTGAAACTCTAACTAGATAGTCACATACTGTAAGTAAGATCATTGCTATTCTTCAGTCATAATGGTGTAAATGAAATTCACATGAGGTGATGAAATTTAACTGATGTACAAAGAAGAAATGAGGGAAAGTACTGGAAAGGTTTCAATGGGATTAATTCTAAAGTCACTTTATTCCTGGTATATTCTGCTTTTGTAAATGTAAGGACTTGCCATCTAGAAATGTTTACTGACAGCAACTGATGTGATTTGCTGTGATACACATATTTCCTAAGTATATCCCAAGACATGCACTGCACTAATTAAACTTGAGGACAAACAGCAAATGTGCAATGTGTAATACATAGAGAGTAGTGCTAATTAATGAGCACTTCAAAGCCTGGGAATTTGCTGTCATCAGGAAGAAGCCTCCTCAAAAGTTTCAGCATTGTTGCTGGAAAGGAAGAAATTACTAGATGCAAACCATAAACACTCCATGAAGTGCTCTGATTGCAAAAAGACATGTGGTCAAAACCAGCACTGTCAGATTAACGCAATTACCTTCTTTATGAGAACTGTTTGCCAGCACATTGATGAACCCAATATCCAGACTCACATTTGAGAAAGCATTCATGGCCACCACTTTCACTAGGAAAGTACCTAGGAAAGACAAATGTCCAAACTAGTATGTCAATGGGCCTGACCATCACGTTTATGATATAAAGCTCATAAAGAAAATTCTATTATTTTCTCTGGTTAATTTTGTTTGTTTGTTGATGAGTTTTCCACTTAGGAAAGCAGCTGTCTTGTTTGAGATTTTCTACCTGAGGGGATGGGATGTTCAAATGGGTATAAAGAGGCCCAAGAAAGCTTCTAATGTTGAAAATCTTAAAACATAAAACAAAATCATAATTGGCTTCTGATGTGCCAGCTTTTGCGTGGAATTTGAATAATTCATTGAAGGAGATTTTTTTTTTTGTCTTCTGCCAGTGAATTATCTCTTAAAGACAATCTTGCTAGTCCCATGTTTTAAAGGCTTTGATTGTTTAATAATGGGAAGAAAAAATGCTAAAAAGCTGATTCCTAAGTCCAGTAAAAACTATGTGCTGGAGACTGATGTGCAGGTGAGGATGGAGCTCCCTTTTTTTTTCTTAGCACTCCTCTCCTTCTGAGGAGTGCTAAGAACTCCTCAGAATTTCTATCACAATAGTGTGAAATGAGGTATAAACTTGGAAAGTTATATATATGAACAAAAAGGAGCATCTTAGAAACACACAAGTCAGCATCCTGTACCTTCAGAGTGCATGGGAATGATGTATGTTTGAGGTTCCCCTTGAGAGCAGTCTTCCTGGTGAGCATGAGTTTGATTTGATCCAACCACTTCAAACCTCATCTTAGCTGGGGCACCATGAGACACAGAGACATTTATCTCCAAATTCTCCCCCAGCTGCAGCGTGTGAGAAGCTAATACAGCCTGAAGACCAGACACTGGCTCAATTAGGTGAACAGCGATGCTCTCTGAGATCTCTGGTGCAGTTGTGTTGCTGGACACTCGGATTTCCAGCTGATGTACCCCAGGGCCTAGCAGCTCTTGAGCAGCACTGTCAAGTGTCAGGTTGTGAGGGGCAATTCCTTCCTCTGCACTGGACTCAATAAGAGTCATGTTATTTGCTATTACAATGTAGGTCACTCCGCTACCTGTAAAAAGACAGTTCAAAATTTCTCACAGCTTGCATAATAGGCAATCCCATTCTGTTTCATATAAAATGTAAGCATTTCTAGAGTCATAACAATACTGCAGCAATGCAGTTATTTTGGATAAAGTCACTTTCAAGTGTTTTTGTGCCCATCTAGGCTTGCTATGGAAGTCTGTCACATTTTCTGCTGTGAGCATGAAGGCAGTCAAGAGAATTCAAATGTTACTGAATTTAACTTTTTAAACATGCAAATTCCAGGAGCCCAACGTGAGAACAAAATATACAACAGCAAATATGCCCTGCTTAGTGTGAAATCCTCTTACCCTCAGATGGAGAGGCATTTCTGTGGATTCCTAACTTCAAATGCAGAAATATTACTACTGGCTCCATGTCGATTCATGTGACTAAAGTCGAGGTCATGCTTTGTTGGATTTGTGGAGAGGGAAAAAGGTTTATGTTTATGTTCAAAGTGGTGTAATCCCTCTGGGAAAGAATCCCTCCAATAGAGCTTGGAGCATTCAGTTGCAGAAAGGCAACAATTAGAGGGGGAAAAAAAGAGTGTTTTCTGTAATGAAAATCCTACTTCCATTCCATGGTTAGGTTAGTATCTAGGTTGCTATTTAAACCACACAGACTAATTACCCTTACCTCCATTGAGTTCAACTTGAATCCACAACAACTCTCCATACAGCGTTCGGCAGTGAGAGCCGTTCCCAGACTCGTGGTGGCTGTAGCAGCCAGTAATGCTTAGTTCATCCATCTTGTCCTGGACCATCACCCGCTTCTGTGCTGTCACATGCCACTCGCTGGTGCTGCATTCCACAAAAACAACAAACTCCCCAGGAGATGCATATCTATGTGTGACACTGCTGAGCAGTCTAGAACAGAAAGAGAATGGCCACTTGTGGAAAACTGTCCTGGCAAGTCTCCAGCCTTATGTGGCAGCAGTAGTCACAGCTGTCAAATTTCTGACCTGACTCATGTCTCCTGCACTCAGGAGGTGGATGAGGCTCTTCACACTAAAACAACGCCCTTAATTTTTCTGTTCTATCCAGGGAATTTGTCTGATGATGTATAAAGGATATATCTTACGTTAGAGGGTAGTAAGGATCCACAGTGTGGCCATCTCCAGTGCTAATGATGCAGGAAAGGTTGCCAGAGTATGGAGAGAGCAGCCAGTTCAAAGTGATTGTGATGTTTTCAAAGATAAAACATGTGTCTGTTACAATCAGCTGCAGACCTGTAAAACACGACAGAATTCAGTGCCATTTTGTCTACATTTCTTGCTTAAGTCAGTTGATTTTCATGCATTGGTGAGAACTGGCCTTCTTCAAATCAGAGTTGACACTGCTGTCAATTTGAATGCATTAGTGGAGTGATCAGGAGCTGATTCTTCTCCATATCAGTTGGTCAATATTCATGTTGAAATACAATTTTATTTGTGTATTTTATGTGTATGGATTTCCTGGCTTTTTATCCTATCAAAAACCCTCTAGAGCTGTCAGTAAGGACAGAGAAATTACATTGTTATGTCTTCAGTATTTTGAGTGTTCAAGGAAGAACATTCCAGGTTGGAGGATGGCGCAGAGATTTTTGAGAAAAATATTACACTCATAGTGTTACAGCCTAGTGAAGAGCAGGTATTGATACTGACAGCCCTCTCACACTTACCCTCCTTGCAGTGGTACTGAATGGACAAGTAGTTGCCAGAAGCTGGACATGGATCTCCAAAGAAAGTGCCATCTGCTGCCACCTGGCAGGCCTGGAGACCATGACACTGTCCTGGAAGGAAGTTTATATGGATTAGTGTTTTTCTCTGTAGCCATCATAATTTAGGTGAGAGACAATCACAGAAACCAAGGTAGAAATGCATTAGTATCTTGTTCCTGAGTTCTAGACAAAATCCCACAGCAAACTTCCATGCCTTAAGACACTACCTGCCACTTCTTCTCTGACACTGATCCAGCTACATTCTTCCTCTGTGTCATTCTGGGGAGGAGTCTCCAATACACAGTAGTGAGGGGTCTTCCTTCCGTAGGATGACTCTCCAATCTGAATAACTTCTCCTGATCCACACTGTGCGGTGGCATTGTAATTATCACAAGCAATGCTCTGGCCTTTTTCTAATTGGGAAAAAAAAATCTGATTTCACTTTCTGAATTTCAAAAACAAAATCTTATGGAGTTCTCCTGCGTATTCTTTTTTTTCCCCTTTTGTTTCTCTTTCTCTCCTTCTCTCCCTCTTAAATCAAGCAATAATGAAAGTGGAAAAAAGAAGAAAACATCAAACACTTTTCCATTTTTAAAATCCAAAAGAACAGATTTATGCTTTTTACCACCTTAAACAAAAATTTGGTAACATATTTAATAAAAGAAAATATTGCCATTGAAAAGAGTAAATACACATTTGTGAAAAACATATAGCATTTGTTTGACCTGCAGTACTGGCAGGTTTCTGATCACATCTTACTTCAGAAAGCCTTGTGGCAGTGTGTGATTTGCATGATATTCAGGTAATTGCATCAGAAAAGTGTTTGCATATCAAGTACAGGACCTGATCCCATTTCTGTTACAAAGACATCTTTATTCCTTTCTGATATTCAATGGACTCCATTCAGCAGAACTGTTCAAATGAGTAAGGTCATATTTCTAAAAGCAAACACCTCGTTCTTGGGTTATTCTGTGGCAGTTAATTACCCTTCAGATTTCTTGGGATCCTTTAGCAATCAGGGTATGTAGTACCTGAAGAGGAGGATGAAAAGCTCTTACATGAGAGTGTTGCAAAAGAATGTTTTTGTTTCAGCTGTCTCAGGATTAAAGACATTGTCCTCCAATTGCTGGTTTGATCATTCCCCTTAAGCACCTTGATTAACAGAGCCAGTATTTGCACACTGCAGTAATTGTTGCTACTGTTATTTAAAGCTAAATCTAAGCCTGGCTGTAGTTATAGCAACATGATCAGTTTACAGATTAGAGCTCTCTAAATAAGCTTGGAAAATAATTTGCTGTTAAATTATAATACAGGCTATTATCTCTTCCATTTATTTGTTCTTTACTTGGCATAGAGAGTTCTCATAGTATTTGCTGTCTTAGTAAATCTACATATGAAAATGCATAGAACCAGATGTGTGTTCCTTTGTGCTGGTTCAATATGTATACTTTTACTACAACAGACTCCTAATTCACAGAGCACCAATTGGTAGGGTGAAATAATAAGAGCAGTGAATTGAACTAAGGAAGAGTTCTGCTTAAGTTGAGAAGCACACATCGTTCTAGAACAGAGTCAAAGAATGAAGGCAGAATGCTGTCTCTGGTTAAATGCTTTTAGAAATATATCTGAGGTCATCAAATGTGCATAGTTACAAGGAATCAGAGAGATTCAGTTCAAATAGTGATACCACTATAGGAGCTACCTACACATTTCATATGAAATTTCATACTTGGTGTGAATCAAGCCTCACCGTACCTGGGTGTGAGGGACTTAAATATCACTATGCCCATTTTACAGAGGCAAACTGAAGCAGTGAGGTTGCACAAACTTCTAAACATTCAGCACCCAGAGGAATTAATGATAGAATGTAGTCCCAGTTTCTTTAGGGTTGTGGTTCAAATTCCTTGCACGCAAAGCTAGTAAAAGAGGAGTCTACATTATTATTGAAACATGTATGTGCATTAATGGACATAGGCTGTAGATACTGAAAACAAGGCTGTAATTACCTCAATCTGTTCTCAGTTTCCTTGGTAATGAAAAGATGGATGTAGGGCAGGGCATTGTTGCTCAATAATGCAAGCTCTCATTGAATTTAATGGGCTTTAAGTCAGATCCTATGGTAACAGATGGTAGCTTCCTTAAAAACAGATAGTTGTCTACCGTGGTTGTAATGGAAAAAAATAATTGTAATCTGTTTTTGCAAGGAAAATCAGCTGAAGGAATTGTACTGTCTGCCAATTTCCACTCCCCCAGTCATTTTTAATGTTAGTCATCTTCAGCTAAATTTGATGTACAGATATAAACCCTAAAAATTCACGAAAACCAATAGTTAGATGAAAGAGAAAAAACTGCATCAGTGTCTCTATTATGAGTAGAAATTATATCCCAATTTATGATGAGGGCCAGCAGGTACAGCTGATGCTTTGAAGCCGCTGCAGAGCCATGGGGATAGAGGGAGAAGTATTTGGAGACACAGGAAGTGCTGGGGATATAGGAGTGAGCAGGGGGACTGGGGAGAAGGATGGGGTGGGGATATGGAGCAGAAGATCAAGACAGGAAACAAAGCATTATTTATTTTGCTGTTTATGGAATGACTCGTTAATTATGTCAGACCATTGCAATAGTCCTGCTATGGCTTGTGGTAACCTGTACTTGTATATTGGATTTGAAGACTGTATTAATGAGTCTACAGCCAGACTTGCCATAGAGTGCTTGTGACCTTAGATCTAGTTACAGTTTAAAGTACTTGGTTTATGTGCAAAATGCAAGAAACACGAATTCCCCTCTTATCTATATGTCAAATGGGATAATACTGCCAGCATTCCTTTCCAGGACTGTTTGTTCCAAGCAGTTTAAGGGATGCGATGACCGTACTTTTTCAGTCTGAGCACAAGGAAGAACAGGCTCTTGTCTGTATCCTTGGCCCAGGGAAGCCCTTGAACTTCAACTGATGGAAGGATCTGAGAAGAAACAAGAAAAACTTGCTCTCACATTTGCTTACTTCAGACTGCTAGAACGAGTATCACTGGAAGCCTGGCTGTATTTTTGCTTCCGTGATGAATGGAAATTATTTGGATGGGCTTGCTTTGGCCCATATTTATGATTAGGAATTTAAGAGCAATCACATAGGTAGGTGAGCTCATATTTGTAACCATTCTGAAACCCGGTGATTTTAGGATTCTTCTTTCCTTCAGTTCAGATCTCCAACGAAGTGGAAAAAGAGCACTATTGGGCTTGTATGGTTTTTTGCTTGCTCACTTTTAATAAACTTCAGGTTGTTGCTCAGCCACTTTGAAAGAAGCAAGACAATTTATGCACAATTGTGAATAGAGTAAGCTCACTTCTTGGTTCCATCTTACCAAACTCACAAATGAAGTCAAACTCCTGGCTGCAGTTTTCAGTCACACCCCACTGATACTTGGCATTCTTCAGGATGTATCCACACACAGATGAGAAAGGAGATGGCTGATCCTTGTACCAGTTACTGTAGCTTACATTTGAGGTGTCCAGCCAAATAATTGACCCTGTCAACAAAATATACATTTCCTGAGTGTTTATTTCCCACAGGAAAACAACTAGAGGGTCAGTCTGCAGAACAAATCTGCATCCTCGCTCCTACTGAAGGAAAGGCAGTTTTATCTGCATAGAGATCTTCAATTTAGTTTTACATGAAATCTGACATAACCACTAAAATAGACACTGCTGCTTCCACCCAGACTCTCAGCCTCAAGATTCCACCATTTCCCTTGCATCAGATCTTGCAGCATTTCCCAGCATGATGCTTAGCTTGCTCGTCCACTGGAAAACCAACCCAGCACATATTTTTCACTGGGTCAGCAGGCTGATCTAATGTGTGTTTACAAGAGCAAGATCAAATGCAAATGGTGACAGCATACAACTGAGAAGTGAAGAAGACAATTAAAATATCTTAATACAAATCTAAAGTTACAGCAACAAAAGACAGTGGCTTTTCAGCAGACATCTATAGTAGGATAGATTGCGTTTGTTGTCACGGTAGGTAAGCATCACAGGCTGATAGTTCTAAAGAAGACAAGATTTTAAAATCACCTACCGTCAGTAGTTTCATTCAGCAAGGAGTCTGAAATCAGTCCTATCCACCATTCCTGATCCTCAGCAATATGTTTCTGCAAGAATTCTTGAGTCTCCTCATTTTCAATAAAGACAAGGTGCCCCCCTCCTCTCTCACACCACCTCTGGGCACTTGTGAATGTACGTTGCAGTCTAACAAACTCGTAGCATGAGTGGTTGAAAGCTAGCTGATGTTTTGAGCAAGGGATTTCTTCCTCAGTTGCCAAACATACAGCAAGAGAAATTAGAACTGTGATCCCAAGCCACATTCTCAGCTTAGTGCCCGGTGTGGCACCGGTTGTGCTTATCACATCAACGCTCTTTTTGCTGCCTTTTTCAAAAGCTTGAGTTGTCACGTCATCAGTATTCCTCCTTCTTCTATTCTGTTTGCAACAACAGCTGCAGCAGTACATGGAACAAATGGCCTACATAATGGCGATTGTGTCTGTGGACACACACACCAAATGTTGGTACTAAATCACTGCAGTGGCCATTGTGAGGCCTGTTGTATAAACGTCATTCCATGCAAAGTCAGTTTGAAGAGAGGATATGATAGTATTGCTTTCTTCTTGAGCAGAGAAGATAAAGTTGATGTATACTGTTACTGGACACATGTGAAAGTGAGATAAAGCTTATCCATCAAAGATATCATTGTATGAGCATTAAAGCCGGAGGTCTTTACAATGACAACAGAGACACAACAGTAAGAATAAGGAAAATGAGAAACACAAGAAGTCATTAGATGGGAAAACACACTGTGTTCCTCTAGATACATTTAATAGTTTTGAATTGCTTTGTTTTTAATAATTATTATTCTTTTAGTGTGATTGTTTGAGGTACTTCTTTTGGAGACTAACGTGATGCCTGTAATTATTGTATCATACTCATCCTGCCCACCTGTTTACATACACCAGGGTTAATCTCAGCTATTCCAAGTAGAGCTAATTGTTGTGTTTGTTTAAAGTTCCACACCCATATGAAATGCTCCCATCAGCCCTTAAAAGCTAAGCTGCTTAACTATACAGAGCTACCTCATACCTGCTAGTAAGTGGAAGAGAAAGCTGGAAGTTGATATAGTGATCTGGAAAAATGTAAATACTGCCTTTATCACCAAAGCTAGTTGGGAGCCTTATGTGGACACTGCACCGACTGCTGATGGACTTTGTGAAGCCAGCTCAGCAACACTTAAGAGCTGAAATCCCTCAGTGCTTCTGAACTTCCTTACAGAAGATACCCATTGGATTTGTAAAGCCACTGGATTAGCAGAAACACAGCACAAATAAGGATCTGTAGCTACTGTGATCCTTCTGTCCTTGGTATCAGCTTCACTGAATTTGATGCTCTTAACATTAGCTTATACCATGATAGCCTGACAGTGAAAGAACATACGCTTATATTTGGACTTAGGAGCTTAGGAGCTGTAACAGAGGTGCAGGAAGCAGTGATCTCTGAATTCCCACATTGCAAAAATACCATTTGCATTGCACTGTCACCCTAAAAGCAATGCAGTGTGCCAGTCCAGCTCTATCTCTTACAGCTTTCTTGCAGAGTAATGTATGCGCACTGTATCCAAGAAATGTTTAAGAATGATCTTTAGCCTGAAGACCTTTCTCGACCTTTACTCCAGTCACCTTTCTCAGCTGGATAAAGCAGGATTGTGGTCAGGGTTTTCAAGAGAAAGTTTGCGGGGAAGTGTTTAATGGATGAGACAACAGGAGAGGAAAGGGAAAGAAAATGTAATGCAGGGGAAGGATGATCATTGAGCTTTAGTGGGAGATGCCCCCTCTCCCACTGCAATTGAAAACTGAGATTTGTCTCAGCTATGGAACCCTTGCTCCAGATCCCACATTAATCTCTGATTGATAAAGAGGGCTGTTGTGGCAGATGAGAATGGAATATTCAGTCTGGGATTCCCACCTCTGAGATGGCCACTCCATACTCCAATTGTCTGATGTATCTGGCCCAGTCACTGTCCACACATCCCTTTTCCTGGGAGAGAAGAGAAATATGTCACTGCACGTTTTCATGACATTCCCTTTTAGAGTCCTTGCTTTTCCTTGGGCCATGCTGACTTGCCTGTCTTTGGAGAAGCTGACAGATAGCCCTTCTGTTTTGGTCTCATAGGTGAGAAATGTAAGGATGAAGAAGGAGACTGTCCTTAAATGTGTCTGACTCAGTGATACAGACCGCATTGCCAGTAAGTGCCACTGACTCACATGTGTGATGGATTAATTCTGTAGCATCATCCACTTCTGACTCTGCTGAAAACTTGAATACATGAACACACTGCTACAAATGCCAGAGGTGCCACAGGCTGTCCCCTGTGGATCTGCTCCAAAGTAATTGAAGTTAATGGAAATCTTGTCTCTGACTTTGATGGATTTTGAAACAGGCCTCAGAAAGGACGAGCAATGCTTGGAAATATCTACAAATAAAGCCAAGCTCTTCAAGTGAACATACTGTTAGCAATTTCTACAGCTTGATGATTTTTTTTTCCTAACCTATACTAGCAGTAAATGACTCCTCAACTGCCTGCAGCAGATGGGGAATGGAAGAAAGATAGTTTTCTCTCTTTTGCAGTGTCTTGGTTTCATGCATTTTAGTGTCATTAAATCAGTCTGGCCATTTATTTTGCTTACCACGAGGAAGAGAAAAGCTTTTACAAAGAAGAAAAAATCTGTTAATAGCATCAAAATTAGGAAATAGGTTCCTCAGGAAAAAAAATCCTGAAAGCCTTTTTCACTCCTAACTAAAAAAATGACTTAATTTCAAATAAACGTTGCTCCTGGATTTTTTCATATTATAGGAAACACGCTGTTTGCATTCTGCTTCAACAGAAGTACATTTTTAAAAAGAGTTTTCTTAATGTCAGAAGTTCCCGTGGAAGTTTCCCATTGTGCTGAGATTTGTTCATCTCTGTTCAGTTGTAGCTGTCCACCTGAAAGGCTGTGTACCTTTATAGCACATATTACATACCAGCAGCTCCAACTAAAACACTGTCCAGCAAATATAAGGCTTACAAAACAGTTATGTTTTGCAAGCTTCGACTAGAAATTAATGACAAAGCTTTCTCAATATTTTCACACCCTCACTCCAAGCTGTGATAAAGCTGCACATAGCTCCTTTGTTTATGAGCTCTGTTGCATATGCTGGAATAAGTCTTTCATGTTCCACAGAAATGTTACAGGGAGCCTTGGGATTTTCTGAGGAAAATGAGCTCCAGAGTATCACTGTGCTGTTGGTGCACAGACAAGGAGAGGTGTGGTGTCCACACTGACTTTGTGGTGGTCCTGATTTGTACCCCAGTGCAGCCTCACATCATCCTGTGCTTCAAAGGACCACAGCAGCCCAGCAAGACAGCCTGACAATCCTCCCCCACAGGCCAGAAAGAATTAGATTGGAAGAGTTAAGGAAGTGAAGAGCTGCCAGTAAGAAAGGATAAATCACACCCTTCTTCGTTTTGGCCATTGTTCATTTGCCTGAAGGAGGAGCAAGTTTACTCTCTACAGGACATCCCATCTTTACATTCCTGAATATTACTGGGTGTAATGTATAGATTTTATCTGAAATAGAAATGTATCTCTGTTCTGTGAACATCATATAAATGGAAAACCATTTTACATTACCCTGCCATTTAGGTAGGAAAAAATATGATTTTCAGGTATCACTAACTTGAGTTTAGACTGTGTGTCATATGCACTTCCACCGTGTGCCAAACTGCTTCTTGAAAAGGTCTGTTTCATTATTACCCAAGAAGGAAGTAATGAGTATGGAACAGACTGCCTGGAAAGGTATGGAGAAGAGTACTTATGGACACATAGATCTTCCATATCCACAGAGTGCTTTAGAAGAGTCCATTTATCAACTGCTTTTAGAAGGTGGGTCACAATCAGGCCTCCTTCCTTGTTGATCTCTGGGCTGGGTGTCCTGATTTGTTTGCTGAATCAAAGGGATTTGTTTTTGCTGTGGTTCTAATGTCTAATTTTCCATGTGGTAACAGTGAACTTCCCAGTGAGTCTTGCCAATTGTGATCTTATCTGGTTAAGAAAAACAGAAAATAATTCTTATCTTTATAGGGTGCAATGATTAATTTAGATATGCATACCTGGAATGATAGGGTCAGAGTGCAGATAAGCTGGACTACATTCAGGAGCTGCTGAGTTGGACATAATTTGTGTTTACAGGTTACCTTTTGGCATAGCTGTTGTCTGGATAAGTTCCTGGAGGTCTTCTGAGAAGTGTCCCTATAGAAGCATGTACTGCTACCTTAGGGCTAGTAGCTCGACTTCCTAGCTTGCCATGCAGTTGATACATGTATACCTCCCCCTCTCACAGATAGCTCCTATGTTTTATTGCTGTCCACAGCAGAATCTGGACTATTGGGAAGAAGAGTAAATGTGTGCCACATAAGAACATTAATCAGGCTAGGGCTATTGATAGCTAAGGTTAGACTTGAATTCACATATAAAGTAGCAGAGCTATCTGAAACATCTGCTGACATCTCATGTGTTCTTACTATCATAAGTGGCACAATTTAGATGCGTATGTTAATGCAAGAAATAGTGATTAAAGGCACCCTATCTGGGTAAAACATTAACACTGGTAGATACAAATAGGCTGAACTTTTCCTAGTGCATATACTTAGCAGGCAAAAAAATGGCTTAGATATAAATTACAGCCATTGCAACTTCACTCACATCTCTGCAATCTCTTCAGATTTCTGTGAGCACAGGAGATTTCTGAGGCAGTCCTACGTCCATCTTCTGCTTGTTTTGCTCCGTCTTGACACAAAATATTTCCGAGCTTATTGGACAAGAACATGGAAAAAAAGCTGTGTTACATATTTTCATTTCTCATCAGCAGATTTCAAAGAACCTTACCAAAGAGATCAGCCCCACAGTCCCCGTATTGAGAAGAGGTCCCAGAGGCTGTTTGGGACAGTGCTTTCGTGTTAGGCAGTCTGCACTCAAATACCACCTGACTGAAACCAGAAACCAGTTCTTTCTCACTTTTGATTTGATGTTGTCCCAAAGATGTGCAGTGGGTTAAAGGTAGGACAGTGTGCAGCAACATTAACATTTCTCAGTTTGGATGCCTGTAACACTATTTTTACAGCTTCAGTCAAAGATGAAAATGCTGTCCTCCACACTGGCAGTTGGCCCACTTGAGAACATGTTGCTGAACAAGTAAAAAGCTTTTTACATGTATTTTTACATTCTTGTTTTAGTCAGGTGACATCTGAGTGTAGATTGCTTAACTGCGTCCTTAAATAACAAAACATGTAGGTAGTCTTGGGATGATGATAAGTGCAGGTAGGGTCATGAAAGTCTCATGATGAGGAAGTTTATGTGGGTATTGTGATATTTTACTTATTTGAATGTCTCACATTTAAATGTTTGGGCATTTGAATATTTGAGCATTATAATAAGTGGGTGAGCTCAGTCTGGTTAGGTACGAGTGTGGTTGTGGCAGCAGTTCTGTGCCTCAGTGCTTGCAGAGTCTTAATGCTCAGTTACAGAATGTTCTTATCTGAATGATTAAATCAGTGTTTCTGGTAATATTTGTACATGCTATTGTAAAAAAAAAAAGTTTTATTTATTACAAAATGTATTGAAGTTTCACAAAAAAAACTCACCAAAACCAGTAAAAATAATTAGTTTGATCCAAACAAAGCCCAGTCTGAACAATGTATGGAATCTACTGTTGTTTGACACAAACGATATTAATTGCAATTGGACTTCGACAGTACAAGAGGATTATTCCTCAGTGGTGCTGGCCATATGTCTTTTGAAATGAGATGATGTCAATAAGAGAATATTTAACAGAGAAGAATATTTAACAGAGTTGGAGCTTACATCTCCTGGTACAGTGAGATAGCAGCCAGTATGATTTCAGCAAGAGCAGCCCTAAGTTCCTATCAGCTTTGCTGCTGGAGCCTTTATTTGGTAATAGTAGATAACAGTTATTAGTTGGAAGTTCTTAGCGCAGCCTAAAGATGTAGTCAGGTAATTTGATCTTTGTAAATGGGCTCTAACTATAATCTGAATTCTATAATGGAAAGGTTGTGATTAAAGTAAATTGAATAAGTACTTCTATTTCAATATCAAGATAAGGAATAGGATCGGTCTCTCCCTGATTGAAAAGGCACTGATTTGCTTCTTGTGTAAGCAAACCAAAAGTACAAAGGTAGACATGTGGCAATTACATTATTGTTATAAAAGAAGCTTAATTAACTAACAATTTGAGCTGTACAAATGTTCAACTATTTATACAGCCAGAAAGTAAGCACTGCCCTCTTCTCACTTCTTTCCTTCAGTGCAGACTGTTCCATTAAGCAGCTTCAGCAACATGCCGAAAATCTCACACTACAGAAAACCATCTGTTCTTCATGCAGACAGCACAGTCTGCCCACAGTTATCATGGTCTGAAAAATACTGGGTGTGTGAGTTATTATGTGTCTGGTAAGCCCATCATCAGAGATAGGCAGTCTCTCCAAAATCCAGGAAGGCTTCTAGTTCTATAGGCCCCCTAAAGGCAGCAGCTCCTTTTCTAACCTCTTTCTGTTGTTCTGTATAGGAGTTTTGAGCCAAAACCAAAAAGCAGACATGGAAATATTAATAGGAAACAGTCTCAGATTCATCATAAGGATATGCAATTTCGTGCTGACGAAGAACTTCAGCTCTAAGGGAAGTTGAACTGAACTTCTGATAGTTGAGCTGAACTTCTTTGTTCTTGTTCAAAATAGATGAGAATAAGGAGAAGTGGAAAAGGTTTCTATGCTCTCTAGAACATGGACTTCTGTAACCTCCACCATGCTCTCCCATCAAACACATCTTTGCAAAGGGAGAAGGAACACTGTGAAACAATGAAATTAGAGAAGTCACCTCATCCACACCCCCTTCCTCCAGCGGTTACACGTTATAATTGTAAATAAATACTTGGATGTTAATACAATAGTGTAAAAAGAGGAAAATTGCACAGTTAGCAGTTCTGATTTTTTTATCACTTGTTTCCATCAGTGCTTTCCAAATGGAGACAAAGGCATGCTGTCCTGGTGACTTCTCAAGGTAAAGATAAATCGGCAGATGTGGGGTAAGGATGAGAAGAGCAATGTGTGTGTATAACAGGAGTCTGAGCAGTCACCTGTGGCAGAAATGGTGTTTTCAATACAGCGAGTGTGGATATTTATAAGTGATCTATTAGACTTAGGAATGGATGTTCAAACATTTTGGGAACAACAGTGATTTAGCAGAAAAAAAATCGGATTTTAGGGTAACCTCATATAAAATTGCATAATATATGATTGTGCAAAGAATCTTTTTATCCTTCATGTTCAATGGAGCCTGTGATTTCCTCTGCAATCACATGCTTTATATTGAAATAATTCTTTTCCTAGAGGATTTTAAAATTAACAACATTGAACTCAGTTAAGTACCTTATCTTGAAAGAAATGCATGAAGTTAAAAATCCCCCTTCTTCTTAATTATTCCTGCCATACTTTCGCAGACTTCAAGGAGCTGATAACCAGGTGGAATCAGGTCACATATGGGAGAATGTATAATAGTGTCTATTTGTAAACAGGTGTTTAATCCAAAGGTGTGCTGCTCAGTTTGCTCTGGAGCTGTTTGTACTTAAAGAAAAAAACCTCATAGTTGTTCAGCAGCGATATTTTGGGAGTTAATAGAACAGCCCAGGTTAGATTTGGCAGAATGGAAAGAAACCGATGACACTCCATTGTCTATCACTCCCAACAAGACAAATTCAGAACGGTGGGTAGAGCTTTCTTCTGTTTTTCTCTCTGCTCCTGCCAAGCAGGCCAGGCACCCCTACAAACAGCTCTGATTTTCTCTGCAATGCTGAAGGTGATATTTCAGTTTCCTTTTACCTTTGGTGTTCCTGGCTGCTTGAGCTATCTTCACACAAAGCAAACAGGTGAGCTGTGCTCCTCTAACATCAAACTAGTGAAAGAGTTAAAGGAATGTGCGAGAATTATTGTGTATGTGTTAGGGATTAAAGATCAACTGTTATAAGTTGTCGATCTATAAGCCAGCAGCCATTAGCTCGAGTTGCACTTTAACCTCATCCTTCTATGTAACAGGAAAGAGCTGTTCTTAGCCCGGAGAGGAGGGAACCGCTACGCCTGCAGGAGCAGCTGGGTCGAGGACGCAGGAACTGTTCGGTTACGTGAGCAATGGAGACAATATTTAGCAGAAACAAAGAAGAACATCCAGAGCCCATAAAAGCTGAGGTGCAAGGTAAGTGAATGATAAACTCCTGTGTTTTCAAGTATATAAAACATTGAAACACTTGCTCTCTCAAAGCAACGCAGAAAAGGGAAACGGGAAGTGAGAAACGTCAGTGAGTTTTGTTTAAAGGACTGAGCTCAGACCTTATTTGTGCCCCTAACCATGGGATTTTTCTCATTTAATGGGTATTTCTACGTGCTTTTTCAGAAAGTCTGTCTGAACAGGATTCACTGAAGTTGGTGGTGAGGGACAAAATCTCAGCATTTAATCTGGTGGCACTCCCTCCCCCATGGTTCCGTACAGACTTTCGTTTTCTCCTCTCCGTAACCCTTCACTACCCTCTCTAGGGTACAGAAGGTACTTTTACTAGAAGGCATTCTAGCAAAAATGCAGAGTATACTCCAGTGAGATAGCCAGAAGTGGCTTTCTAGGTACGAAGACTTGATCAATTTAGCCTTTTTTTCTGCTTTTTTCACCTTGAAGAAGAGGGACTTAAAGAGATTTTTGCTGCAGCTACAGGAGAGGTTTGTTGTTGAGTACCTCTTTCTAGCACATATGCATATAGCAGGCATCTAAGACCAGTTTTAAAGTCAGTTCCCAGGTAGGTCATATCAGGTACATAATTACATGGCTATGTTGTTGTTGTTCAGCTTGGTGGCTGAATTGAAAAAGATTTTGTTTCAATGTGCTTTGTTTAAATTGGAGGTGATTTTATGCCTTTCAAATGTTTGTCACTCAAAATAAAAGCTTAGTATTGAAATATATGAATTTGTTTGCAAGCAACAACTTTTACTACAATTTATCTGTGTTATGGAATGGTTTATTTGAACAAAAACTGAACAGTTGAGTAAATTAAATTAATATATTACTTCAGTGGTAATGGTCATTCAGTATTTACCAGTAGTGAAAATTAAAGAGGACTCTGACCTCTTCACGTGTACTGTCCTGCCCGTGAACTGTCTCCTTGTTACTCAATATGTGCACTGTAAATATGACCCCTTAACGCCAACGTCAGACATAAAACTCTTGTTGTCCTAAAGACTGTACAGCCACATGAACATCCCATCCTCCACGGCTGTGACAGCTCGTACTCTTCCAAATATTTGGAGATTTTGCTGTCATTCTCGTGTCCTCATGCAGTACAGAAAAGCTTTATTATTTTCACTGTAGATAAAAGCACGAGGCAAAAAAGAGATGCAGTCCAGATCTGTAAAGCTGTTTAAGCACTTAAAAATGCTGACTGATACCTATTGTGATTTGCAGATGTTCTTAATTCCCACTTACATGAACTTTCATCTGAAAACTTCAAAGTATGTCAATTTTCTCTATGACTTTTATACTGCAACTGTGTCAGAAATTACACTGAATTACACCAGAAGATTCAGAAGTTGCATCAAGTCTACGGTGCCTTAAACAAAAGACTACCTTTCTTTTTTCCCCATTATTCCTGTCCTGGAATTCCTTGTGCATCTTTCTTCTCATTTAGGGAATATATCTCTCTATTAGACATCTGTATAAAGATACGCATGCCTATTTACAGATGGATAGATAGGTAATATCTAGAGACATCTAAATATATAGATAAAAATTTTTAACTCTGACACCTCATTTGATGTAATGAAGACCAGTACAAGTCACACATCCTATAAAATATGTTGATTTCTGAGAAGCTCTAGCTTTTCCTGGCATGAGTAAAAAGGATTAA